GTAAAGGTCTCTACACTAGGTTACATGATGGACCACAGCGTAATGTGGTGGGTAGGCTGATTCAGTTCCTAGCTTAGGTGGCAATGTCCATGAGGATCTGTGTTGTTGGCCTGACTTTCATTTCTCCTAGTTGAGGTTAAACACTCAGAGCTTTGGAGACTATACCAGTTCATCCCAATTTGTCCATGTCAGCATCCCTTGAAGATCATGAACACTAAAAGGAGGTGTGAGAACCTTGGTGAAGACATAGATTTAATAGTGTTAGCAAGCAAGCGGCTGCCTATGGTTCGCTTAGTGTAGAGGAGAGGCAATCCCATCAAGAATCTGGAGGTAAATGAGAATGGCTTCTGCTCTTAGGTCACCTAAGAGAGAGAACCCAAAGGAAAGACTCTCACTTACAGTGGGTGGAGCAAGAAATGCTCAGGGCAATACTTGCCTTAGTATTGGCTTGTGGTGAGTTTGTCTTGCATGAGAGAAGCCATTGTGTGTGTTGGTGTTTGGCAGATTGCTTGCAGCAGCATTAGCTGACAAAAATATAATACACTGTGCTTGTGTGATTGCTAATGGCCCCACTTAAAACAAGCTAAGGAAACAACATTAATTTTTACAGTGTATCATGCAATTCATATTCTAAAATATTTTTATAGTTCATCAATTTTTGTTGCTTTTTTGGCATTAAGTCATTAAAATCCAGTGTACTTTATACTTATAGCAAGTCTCCATTGAAGAGGAGCCACCTGGGGCTGCTCTTTTTGCTATGGGGGCATGTTGAATGCTGTCAGTCCTTCTTGTTTGTATAATAAGCCATCCAGTGATTATTAGTTTCATTAGATCATTCAATGATGGGCTGTGTTCAGTCACTATTAGTATCATTTCCATTTGAAGAAATACTTTTTTAGTGTCATGAACATTGCTTACTGAAAAGTATTGAAGAAATGATCATTCCTCTGTAAAATGGCATCAATACTCATTTAAAACAGAAAAATAGGTAGCATGTTTGAGAACTGCATCTCAGATGACCTAGATGTATTACACATACAGACACAGACACAGACTCAGACTCTCTCTCTCTCTCTCTCTCTCTCTCTCTCTCTCTCAATCTCTCTCTCTCTCTCTCTCTCTCTCTCTCTCTCTCTCTCTCTCTCTCTCTCTCTCTCACACACACACACACACACACACTCATTTGAATTTTAGCTGGGAGAAGTTGAGCCTTGAAGAACTCCAGATAAGTTATCAACAGTCACTGACACAGTCACTGACACAGGCAGAGTGACAATAGCAGGATTTGACTCAAGGGCCACCTCCCTTCCACCCCAGGGCTTTTCATAACATTTAACCATCTTCCCGCCTGTCTGTTCACATGGCAGTTCCGGGATGGAGTCGGTAACCACGCTATGAATGATGCAAACACAGTTCTCTCGCAGTGAAAATGGCTGTTTCAGCATCGTAACAAATGTCAGCAGGGAAATGTTTCTCTAATGGAGAGAGCCCTGCTTTGTGTCTGTGACAAGAGAGGACAGCATATGCCCCACTTGCCTTAACTAGTCTTGATTTTTAGTAAATGGCTGGGGCCCAAGTGTCTGTCCTCATATTAAACTACCTGCCTACCTCCCGCAATTGTAAAAGGCTTAACAAGGCTTATGATCAAAAGGTCCAAAGTTCTCCACTTGATCATCTGGAAATGGGTTTGTGCTACAATAAAAGAAAAATAATGCCATAAGCTCAAATACAGGGCTAGGGCCAGAGCTCTCCTTGTATTTTCTCTTTCTCTGTGACCATTTATAACCTGTAACTCCATTGAGTTTTATGCTCTTGCTCTTTATTGACATTATTTGATTTATTCTTCCCACTGTTAAATTTATTTTTTGAAGTATTTTCTAAATACCCTACCTATCTTTTTCTTCTCCTTTGTTGGGGATAGTAATGGGACCAACTGGGTAATTACTTCTTTTTGAGTTCATATTTCTACTCATCCTTTTATGGCTTGCTTCCCTTAGAGGTGACCTGTTTCAAAGGCTTTTTATTCCCATGTCTTGATTTTCATCTCAATTATACAATTTTGTACTTTTCACTTATTTTTTTACCATTGTCATTAGTAATTGCTTGTTTTTAAAAATCTTTTTGTAATAACTGAATTTTATTATAAAACCATAATTGTTAAATCAATGAAGTACTAGTAAAAAGATTAATTTTTATAGCAATGAAATGCAACTTATTGTGTGTGTGTGTGTGTGTGTGTGTGTGTGTGTGTGTGTGTGTGTGTAGCTTGCCCTGTGTGTATATGTAGGCTTGATGTTGATGTTGGGTGTCTTCCTCTTTCATTTTCTGTTTTACTTTTGAGGCAGGGTATCTCATTGAACCAGGAGCTTGCCATTTTGGTTAAGGTGGCTGGCTAATGAGCCTCAAGGATCCTCCTGTTTCCTGGTCCCCAGTGCAGGAGTTACAGACTCATATGCCAGTGTCTATAGCCTTTACATCGTGCTGGGCGTCTGAACTCTGGTTCAGTCTTACAGCAAGCACTTTGTCCACTGAGCCATCTTGCATTTTTAAGTGGGTGATACCTATAAGGAGATTGACTAGAAGGAATTGCCGCTGTTATGCTAGTTACCAGTTTCTCCCTTCAGCCATTGAACTAAAATGCTTAAGAAATAGTTTCCATATTGACAGTTAGAAAACATAAGTCTATTTCATGTTATAGATCCCTGAGATTTTATGTAATATTTTGTATATGTACACTGATTGTACTGTTACTTTGAAATTAATAGGATTTTCCCAGCTAGTCTCAGACTTATTTAATTATGGGTGAATGCTAGCTTATGGAGTAGCTGGATTCACTTAAAGGCCTTATCTGTGGTCCCCAGATGTGTGACACTCAGATGTTGACATTAGGAACTACACATGGATTTTCAGCACTGAAACCTATGTACACATAGGTACTAGTGGCGAAGCAACTTATGGCATATGCATTAAGTCCCTAGCAGTAGAGACAAGCCTGTTTCCTTTGACAAAGATCATATACCAGTATGCAAGAGGTAAAAGGTCTAAATGGGGCAATCCATGCTGGGAAGGACTCTCCTGGATGACTTGTGTAAAATGCCATGATGCTTGCTTAAGGTTTTACAAGGCTTCCAGCTGCAGTGAGGGCAGAAGCCATAGGAGACTTGTTCTTACTTTTATCTGTGGAGTGATGGGTGGTACCTGGCACACAGTAGGTGCCATGAATAAATTCTGTACAAATGAATGATGGGAAGATAATGTGGAAGATATCTAATCTGTATTATTCATTGTGTGTCTTAAATATATTTGGAAATAATCTCCCATAAATAAATAAACTAATAAGTACTCCGTAAACTAGTGACAGTAACCAAGAAAAACAGCACTTTATGGAGCTCCACACCGAATCATCTTCTTAGTCTAAACTTTGGTCTGCCTTACTGTTACTTTGATTTTCCATGAGTCTGTACTAAGCATAGTGAATTTGCTGTGGGGAATAATGACTGAGTCAAGAGATGTCCCAAGTGTGGTGTGGTGAGACATGTTAGACTGTTGTGCAGGCTTAATAATAATTACCGTGATCTTTAATGATAACAGTTCTTAATGTGTATGATTATTGTTAATAATGATGGTATTTAATAATTATACCCAATACTTATTATCTTTAATAATAATAATTAGCACATGGGAACCAGTTGCACCATTGTATTATCTTTAGAACAAAACCTACATCTATGGCTTAGGAGCCTGCAGAGACTCTGCTTTTCCCCTCTGCTTTCCAGACCACAGTGAAGTCAGGAGACACCTGGGGTCAGCTCAGGGAGGGCTTCTGGAACCCTTGTCTCCATTCTGTGCATTGGGCCCATTCCCAGTCATTTTACAGAGTTCTTGTTCTCATTATGGAATGCTTGTACCAAGACCATCACACCCTGCTGGCCCTCCCTCTGCCTGCTGGTGTATCCTTCATAACTTTTGTGTTTTGTTGCACAAAGAAAAGACCCAGGGCAGACTCTCATTCCATAATGTACTAATTTGTGTGAATTACACGAGGCAGAGTCCATGTTTATGACTTGTACATTGGTGAATCTTTGATCTTCTTCTGTCTTGGCTATGTTTAGATTTAAATGCCTGTGTGATTTTTTTTCTAAAAAATAAAAAAGAAGTTTAAAAAATGTTTGGTAAATTAAACATTTTTAAGCTTTTCACACTTTGATATGAAGCAGAGAAATATTTCAGTGACAACAGATTTCAACAGATTTTCAAATAGACTAATTTGCTTTATTCTTTAGGGTAGTTTATATTTTCTTCTTTGCAAACACCGGAAAGTACTCTTTCCAGGGGTAGCTTGTGTTCATGTATAAAATAATTCCAAGGAGATGAATTTTGCATTTAGTGGTATGTTTTATATTAGGTAAGCATTAGTTGAGATTTTCATGATCTGTAGTTTTTCAGGCTCCCTTGATGGGTTGTTTACTGAGATTAAAAAAGAATACAATCCAGAAAAGGACTTCTTTTACATTCCTGTTGACTTTCCTATATACATTCTCATAGCATCTCAGGCCTGGAAATCTAACATGCCTACCTGTTAGGTACTGTACTGTAGATGAGCAACTTTAAAACAAAATTCTAGGCAAAAGCAGAGCGGACTTGAAAATACTAGTCAGTGTTAGGTAGTGATGCTAACAGTAGACATTAAAGGTTCTGCAGTCCCCCCTGTCCCTGGGCCATGTGCTACGACACCTCTGATTGGTATCATCTGTCTTTTAATCACTGGATTTGGAGATCTTCTGCCCCTGCCCTCAGCAATGCTGCTGCAATGGGACAATCATTATAGTGACAGTCCACTCTCCTCACCTGTAGGCTTACACGGGGCCCTTAACCATCAGACCTGCTCATCCCACACTATTCCTGATCTTAGCTTTTAGAACTGTCTCTTCCCTTCTCATCCTGGTGGTCCAGACTACCTTGTAACGCCCGTGTTTTGCTGTTGGATTGTGTTCTCCCAGGTTTGATGATTCCTGTCTTCTGTGTGGTGGAGCAGTTGGATGGCTCTCTTGAATATGACAACAGAGAAGAACATGCTGAGTTCGTCTTGGTGCGAAAAGATGTGCTTTTTAGCCAGCTGGTGGAGACTGCGCTCCTGGCCCTGGGCTATTCCCACAGCTCTGCAGCTCAGGCCCAAGGTATTCCTTTGTCTCTCTTTCCCCTCCAGCCTCCTGTGTGATCTGAGGAAGAATAGGTTCCCCCAAACAAGGGCGGCAAAACAGCTGGCAGATGCCATACCTGACAGCAGAGAGCAGAAATCCTACAGAATATGCTTTTCTTGTTCTGTGAAGTATTTGAACAGTACCTGGAAACCCACCCAAATTGACTTGTATTTCAAAAAAAATCATCATGCATTCATAATTCTGGTATTTTCGCTAAGTTAGCAAATTGGTGTTCTCAGGGTCAGTGCTGAGATATTTGACCCCTGACTTATCCAAACTTTAATATATGATTTATAGGCATATGAAATTTATTTATTTGCTGCCTTGGGCCTATGGCTTCTGCAGTTTGCCATCAGGTTTTAATTAAACAGAAAAGCAGTTGCATCTTATTCTTTTGTACCTTTGAAAACTGTGCTACGGTTTTGATGTGGTACATTCATTTAAAAAAATCACTTTCCTTGTAATCACTCCTTTTACCTATTTAATTAACTACTGAAGATGCATAATTATATTGCTAATACCGGAGCTTATGTGAGTTTCTCCTGTTTCTTTTCAAAGCATAGTCCATTGTTCTATTATGTCAAAGACTCAGTAAAACAAATAATAATAGCATTCCTCAAACCTTGAATAATGGGGGAAAACTTGAGCCAGTAGAATTATTATCCTTGTTTTTCAGACGAAATGACTGAACAGATAGTTTATGATAATGGCTATAAATAAAGGTGAGAAATTTATAACATCCTGGTCTCACTTTTTATGCTAGTTCCCTATTTTACCCTTTACTTAACCTTCCTGTAGGTCCCATGAATTCATGCTATGTCTAGAGTCTGACTTCATGCTCTTAAGAGAGATCAGTTGGCTTCAGTGGCTCTGCTAAGGCTTCAAGGAGAGATCAGGTGTTGATAGAGTTACACATGCAGGAGCCGAGGACTCAGACTTCCAAGTTCTTCCCTCTGATTCTATAAGCTCATTAGTGTCTCTTTTTTTTTTTTAAGAGTAGACTTTGTTCAAATTATAGTTTAGTTCTACCCGAGTGGTCAACAATATCTTCCCAGGTGAGTGTAGCCCACATACATGTCCTGTGCATTGCAGTGCATTCTGCATTCTGTACACGGTCAAGCCTGGTGCAGGGCCGGCAGCTGACCTGTGTAGTCCACTGCAATCAGAGCAGTTTGGTGATGTTTCCGCTCCTGGACAACTTTCTTGTGGGAGGGATTCAGGATTTGACCCTAGTATATTGTATACTGGGTACCACTGCTTTTTTTTTCACGTGATGTGCCCAAATGAAATAAAAGAACCCGATCCCTGTGCCCATATCCTGCAATTTTTGGGATGTTTTTCTGTGAATGTAAAGGTCATTGTGTCCTGCTGCTTGAATCCTGGCGTGCCAGCTTCCTGTTTGACAAGGCTATCTATCTCAGTTAGCATGGCTGCTTGGTGCATCATGAGCTCACATGTGGAACACGGAGCACTAAGTGGCCAAGATTTGATTCTTGGCACTTGCTGAGGAGAAGGGCTCTCAGGAAATCTACCCCAGGGAACCCCACTGACTCCCAGTGATGTAGACTGAGAGTTCTACTCACCAAGGTGGGCTCTGCAAGCAGTGGCTATTGTCTGCCGTGGAGCATTTAAAAGGGGACAAGTCAAAAATAAAAATTTGCTTGCTGAAGTTTCTGAACACGAAAATGAAGAGTGTTTTTTTAATGTTGAATCAACTCATCAAAAACACTGTCTACAGCAATACTTTATGTCTATCACTATAAACTCCACAGACTTAAAAAAAATCAGAGTTTATTTTTCCTTGAGCTGGTGACCTGTTTTGAGTAAATGGAAACACTTCAAATTCTTCATATTTTGAAAAGATGTTATTAGTTCCTCCTTGTCATGCCAATGATTAGAAGGTTATATACCTCTATTATGGATAGTGGAAAATCTTGTAATTGAGTAACATTTTTTTGAATGAATATATTAGATCTTTCTTGTCATTTAGATGATTAGAAGATCTGTTTGGGGTAAACGGAAAAACATAGGATTATTCATTTCTGTGAAGGGACATATTAGGTCGTTTGTCATTCAGCTTAGGGGGAGTGTGCTGCTTGCTGCCTCTTTAGGAGGCAGGCTACCCATGAATCGGACAAACAGCACAGCCAATCTAGTAGAGGAGGAGGGGGCTAAAGGCAGAAGGTTTTATCTGTGTAGCTTTTGTTTTCTTTCTTTGGTTTTTATTCTGTTTTTTCCATGTTTTTGTTATTCTCCCAAGGTAGGGAATTAAGGGTACCTTTGACTTACCCACTGGTAAAGGAGTTTCAGTGTCCCTGAGTTTTATCTTCCTGTGCTGGCACCGTGTGGGAGACCTAGGCTACAAGGATAGTGGCTTGTTTGCACCTTTTAAAAACTTTGATGTTCTTGAGAAATTATTTTTCATTTTTACACGACCAGAGAAGCTTCCCAGTGACTGACCCGGAGGAGCAGTTTAGTTGCCTATAAAAGAGCAAGTATGTTTGCATCGTGGTTTTGGAATGATGTTCAGGTCCCAGTCATCAGGTGTACATGCTTCTGTAAGCATGAGATTGTCAATTTCTCTCACTGAGAGAGTATTCCCCCCCAGGTGAGCTGCAAAGACTTTTATTTATTTGCTTCTAAAGGGAAATAGCAATTCTACTGAAAACAGAGTCCAGGGATTCCCCGGCCCACGTTCACAAAATATTTATTTAAATGCTGGATATTGGCACTAGAGAAAAAGGCAGCAGACACTGTCATAAATCACAGGAACTATGTATTCATCTGACTTATAGTTTCCATTTACTAACACACGCAACCACTAACTGTGTGACTCTCAATGAGATGCAGGGTTCTTCTGGACCTGCCAGTGTTCTTATGTAAAAAGCTGAGGCCTGCACTGTCTGATAGACTGAGCCAGTGACTGCATCAGAAGTCTTAGGGGATTGTAAGAAAGGCTCTAGGGAACTCCTGCTGTTTGGGGATCATCACAGTCTCCCTTCCCTCATCTTAGAATCACCACTTGCCCTATTCGTCCCTTTTCAACCTTTCAACTTTGTCCCATGAGACTTTCTGTAACATCCAAACAGTTGCCACACTCCAAAGATTCCTCAGGTGCCGGTCATATTTTTGTCAGCACTATGACTTTGGGAGGGGGCACCTGCTAAGGCAAGGGCAAGATGATGTCACACTGTGTGTAACTGACTTAATTTGCTAATGGTCATTTTATCTACAATACTGTTCCCTCAGTGAGTTTCAAAATAAATTTAATTAAAATTTATTTTATGCATAAGAATGTTTTGCCTGCATGCATGCACATCCATGATGTGCATGCTTGGTACTTGTGGAGGTCAGAAGAGGCATCGGATTCCTTGGAACTGGAGTTATGAATGGTTATAAACCACCATATTAGTTCCTGTGTTAGAGGAACAAGTGCTCCTAACTGCTGAGCTATCTCTAGTCATCCTCGGCTGGTTATTTTTGTTGTCAAAACTGTAGGTTTAAGAAAGGGTGTACTAATCAATGTTTCTCATTGTACTAATTACATTTGTGAAGTTGTTTGAAATTATTTTTTTAATGGCATAGAAAAATGTATTTAGTAAGTGTTATGTGACTGAAGTATGGTGCCAAGTAGCCTCAATTATCTTAAGATTTCACATATGTTCTGAGAAGAAAGACAAATGAAGTACATTAACTGTGACTGGTGTAGGTGTAGGATTATGTAGGATTTCTTTTTCTTCTAATGAGAACAAAAGTGAGTATAAAATTCTACTTCCTTCTCAAATTCTCTGAATAAGTGGGGAGTTGTTACTTGGATAGTTCTGTGTTTTGTTAAGTTGTTCCTCTGTTCCTGTTGTGTCTGTATGTGGACACACATTAAACAGTGCCCTCTCTGTTGTGTTTCCAGTGGCAGATTAGAAAAGAGACCTCAAGCTGTTTGGGCCTCTGAGAATGAGGCCAGGCAATTTCTCAGCAGTTAAGCAGGTACTCTGTTAGACACTGCTCTCAGAGATTTGCATGTCCTGGTGCATTTAATCACAACAGCCCTTTGAAGGCACTTCCTGGGTGTTTTCCCATTTTATAGAAGAGGAAATTGAGGCAAGAAGAGTGGGGAACCACTTTCTCTGGGGCACAGGCTGATAGGTGAGGAACTTTCTGAGTTGGGAAGGAGTGTTTCACCTCAAGGAGCTCTAGGAGGAAGCTGACCCTGAAGTTTAAGAGTTGGGATGGGGGCCACTTCTCTCTTATCTTCTCCTCACTCCTAGCCAGAAGCCCCATTTAGACAGTGTGCTTCCCAGATACACGATGACTCTCTCTCTCTCTCTCTCTCTCTCTCTCTCTCTCTATATATATATATATATATATATATACATGTACATATATACATATATATATTATTATTAAAAATGAACAAGCACCCAGACTCCACAGAATTGCTTTTGATTTTGTCTTTTTGGACAAGATCTCACACTGTGTTCCAGGCTAACGCTTTAATCTCAGTAGTCTTTGTGCCTTGGCTTCCTGAGTACTGGGATTACAGGTGTTTACCACCACACCCCACAGATTTCTAAAACTAAAAGGGCAGGACTCTTTCAAATAAGTAATTGCTTAAGGCCAGACTGAAAGTTGACATGAAAATAAAGCATGTTTCTTAGCAATTCTGAGCTACCTGCTAATTAATTCCTCATCATTTGTTTATTTATTTGTTTATTATTTTGTTTTTTCGTTTTGTTTGACACTGTTTGTTTGTGTTGTCCTGGCTGTCCTGGAACTCACTCTGTAGATTAGGGTGGCTAACCTTGAACTCAGAGATTCTCTTGCTTCTACAGGGCTAGGATTAAAGGCGTATGCCACCACACCCAGCTTTTGGAACTCAAGAGATGGGGAAAATATACTATTTTCAATGAGCTTGCATTTTGTGGTTTAATTATACGGAAGGATTAAAGTGTAGAACTCTTCAGTTGAGTTTGACCCAC